ATGAAGCTGACAGTTTGTCCACTCTGCTACAGACAGTCTTATTTGAAATTTCCCTTTTTCTTGGTTCAAAAAATTTTTTTCTAAAAAAAGGCAGCGAGTGATGACATCATAATATCATATCACATCGACGTATTTTCAGCCTCCCTGAGAGAGTTTAAAAAATCCCCTATAAACATGATTCATGTAAGTCGAGACAAAACTCTTATCATATACTTGTTTTGTATTTTGTAAATTATTATTAAAAAACTACTTATAAACTACTTATAAACTGTTCCAAACGGACCCTTTATCAACTAATTATAAAAACTTTTTTATTTTAAAATCCCATAATCTTTCTTAAAATAAAAATCCATGTTTCACAAATGTTTCTTTTAATTTTGACAGTCAACTTTCAATTTTATCCGCAGATCATTAATTAACCGTTAAAATCATAACATTAAGATATTGTTTCGACTAAAATAGTCTTTCTCAACACAAATATCATTTAATAATTATCTTTTAATTACATATGACATATCTTTATTCAAAATTAAAAAATATAAATTCTAATATTTTTGTTATGCTATTAAATCAATTATCATATTAAAAATTAACTAATTTTATAAATATAAAATTTTATTTTTCAGTAATTTAAATTTTTCATATCATTTATTTATTAAAACTTACCTGTAATATAATCTTTTAAATATATATGTTGATTGAAAATATTTTGCGATTGTATATATATATTTAATTAAATTATAGAGTTATAAAAGGTTCTTGTATTAATATGTTATAATTAAAAATTTTTAAATATATTTCAAAAAACCATATCTTTGTTCAAATTTTCAACCAAGTATTTAATAATTGAATTTATTTAAATTTTGTCTAAATTTAGTAAAAACATTAATAAATAAATATCTTGTTTTGCCAAATTCCTCTTATGTCGTTGTCCTGTTCTTTGGTACTGGGGTTGAGTTGGGCCTCACAACGAACAAAGAAGAACTACGCGATCCGTTATTTGTTGCTGTTGCCCGTTAGCTGGGCTTAGCCGCTTAGGCCACAGTGGGTTCCCAACAAAATACACATATGGGAAAAATATAACAAATGTGAACAAATGAAATTATATATTTCCCCAATACGGTTGGATCATGTAGAATGGGCTAGTTCTTCATCATATAACAAATAAAGACTTAAATCTTATTGAGAGAAATGTATATATTTAATACTTAACAGTGTCTTGAGCATAATTACCTCTAATAGGAAAATATATGTCATTAAAAGAAAAAAGGTTAATATAATTTTTTGTTCTTTAAGTTTGTCTTTATTTTTGTTTTGGTCTTTCAAGTTTCAAACCATAAGTTTTAATCCATCAAGGGATAAAATGATCTGAGTTTTTTTAAGATTATAGGAACCAATGTTTTAAATAAAAAGAAATTTAAAAGGCCAAAACTTATAGTTTAAAACTTAAGAAACCAAAATCAAAATGAGGACAAACTTGAAATATCAAAGTTTGTATTAACCCAAAGAAAAATTATATACTTTTGGACATCGAACTTATATACTTTTAAATTAAACGCAGATGTAAATTCAAGATGTTGGCCAAAAAAAAAAAGATCTACTCTTCTAGTCCTTAATTTATGATCTAATTAGAGAGTTGATGTAGGTCCTATATATGATATTTATTTTACATGTTCATAAATTTTTTTCTAAATCAACTCTATTGATATTCCCCCAACAATAATTAAGTAAGAGAATGAGATAATTAAGAAATATGCTTAAGGTGTTTTAGAAAAAATATATCATATTGACTAATTTAACTAATATCTTTAATCAATTTAAATTAGTTCATTATATTTTACATTAAGGACCGGATGAATACATTCAAAATATAATTACCGAACTAGTGATTTAAATACTCATTGTTTAATAATTAATAGCTAATAATATCAAGTCAGTTAATTTAATTTACATAGCATTCGAGCTTGAAATAATGCATGAATTTCAGTGAATTGATAAAAAAAAAAAAAGTTACGTGCTTGAAGCCAACAATTCTTCCAGTTTTATGGGTATTTTGATAGAAATCAAGCTATAATTTTACAAGTGATTCTATATGAAGGAGTTTATCTGAATTTATAGAAAAGTATTTTAAACAATTTACGGAAAAGAATTTTAAAAGTACTTTTGTCTAATTCAAAACACCCCCTTAGTCTAATATCTAATGATCCTGAACCGAGACGTTGTGGATAAGAATTTAATAGTCCAGACCTGAAAAGGTGAAAAAAATTGGCTTCTGTAAAGAGAAGAAAATTTTGTTCTTTTGAAGGTTATATTTTACCGAATTTTGAATGTTTAAAGACACAATCGTCACGTTAAAAGGGCGGATGAGCTTGCTGGTTTAAACTTTAAAGGATCCCTTTTATTTTGTTTTCAATTTTTGGCTACATTTTTTAATTTTTAATAACACGCACATTTTGTAAATTAGAGGGATGAGTCAAAAGGCCCCCAGTCTCATCAAATGGGGGCTAGAGCTGGGAATGTAAGTTGGTTTGATGTCAATCTATCAGAGCTCATAGTCAGGCTCAAAGCTCTAAATACTTTTTATTAAAAAAATTAAGTTTGACATTATATCCTGTATTTGAAAAGGTATTTGGAGACTTCCAGAGCTGTTTTTTTAAAAATATTTTTTTTACAAATCCAAACAAACTTTTAATATATTTACTTCATATATTATAAAATTATTTTTAAAATCATGATTTAATTTCCCTCCAAACATATTTTAAGTCTAACTTGCAAAATATAAATCCAAATCCAAACTCAAGAACATTGAAATCCATTACTTAGAAGTAAGTGTCTTGACAAATTTTCTTGGGATTTTTCTTTTCCGGGCCAGTAAGGTTGGGGTTGGGGGAGAAGGAGGATCTCATATTGCGACGACTTGGTTATCAAAGTCAGTCAATTGCAAAAGGCAAGCTTGGTCCTGGTCAATGGCCATCAAATATAGAAGAGCCCAGAGCATTGAATGAATCATTGACCGCTTAAAATGTTCGTTTCAGGTTTTGAATTTCTCAAATTTCCAGATGCACAATTTCAAAATTCAACGAATTCCCGCTGCATTAATTGACGTTTGACCGTTGTTTATTTATATCTTAGTTAATTGTCTGCGCTCTTTTCTTTTCCCACTGCCCCAATTTTTTTTTTTTCTTCTTCTTTCCTCGTTCTTAATTAGTACTTCTTCCGGTTCAAAATATAAACTAAATTTTATTTATTTAAGTTCATTAAAAAACTAATTAAAATTAATATAAAATAATAAATATGTAAGATATATATTTATTTTTTCAAATATGCGTGTTTTTATTAATAAAGAGAATAAGTAAAAGATGTACTAAATAAATCAAAAAGAAAGAGAATATATGGAGTAAAATTTAAAAAAAAACTCATTAAATGTTTAGATAAAAATTAATGTTATCTTATAAAAAAAAACCAAACCCCTTCAATAAAGTTTAGCTTATATTTTAAATCAAAAAAGGATTGTGATATTTCTTTCTTTCAAATTCCAAAATGCACCAATACTATCGCCTGTTTATTTTACTTATGCTGACTCAATGAGAAATTTGAAGTCGCACTTGATTTCTGGGTGCTCTCTTTCTTTCCTCATGCGGTGTAGCAGACCGTAGTTTTATTCTTCTCCAAATTAAAGAGACAGCACAACAATATTAATATATATTGTAGTTTTTTTTATGTTTAAGGAACCCAGCTAAGTGCCTAGGACTCGTGGTTATATATGGTAGTTTTATAACTACATGTATGCAAAAGGGATTTGATTTAAAAAAAGGGCCTATCTCAATACTGAGTTCTTAATATTCCGCTTTGGAGCAGGCATTGAGGAAGGTTGGTGGGAATATATCTTATCGTGGAGGGTCCTTTCTTACAGTCAGATCGGCTTGTGTAGGGAGAGATGTAGGGGCAGTTAGAGAACGCGAGCTTGACCAAGGCCTGTGGAAACTGTGATTGAAGTCTCATTTGCACAATTTTGCTTTCTTATGGTAATATATTGGACAGGAATGTTGCTTGACATTGCTGAAAAAACACATTTCTCTGTGCATATCACATTACTTGAAGATTTTATGTCTCTTTGATTTGGAGTTTTTGCGTTCTGATCTTGCACAGCCCATTGATTTATCCGATCATGTTGTATTAACTGGTCTGAAATTACATATATATTTTAGCTTACGAAGCTGAATCACTGTTTTGTCCCCCTTTTGCTGCTTTGAAATAGGAGAAACCGCATGTTCAAAATTAACAGTACATATAGTTAACATTCATCCAAAAGTGTGCTTGAGCTTGCAGCGACATTTGTATCTCTCTCGTAGATATCCAATGAAATGACAACATTCCAATGAATGCACTAATTATTTAATTAGACCTACTTATGATGACTTGATGAAAGATTATTGTTTTTAACTGACTCAACTACTTAGATTGCATTTTGGTTAATTTGGAAAAAACTCTTTGTTTTTAGGGCTGAAGAATTAACCCGTCGCTTGAAGATTTGGCTTTTGAGGGAAATACTGAGGCATTTATGCATGGTCTGAACTCTGCACCGATGGATATCTCTTGCCCTTGCTTAATTACTATCAAGTTCTTGGAATTGTTTACGTACCTACATCACGCAAGAGATCGCTCCTCACTATGTTTTTAATTAGCTCACTTCTGTAGAGATTTACTTAGATCCACCGTATGGCTTAAGGTCCTTAATTCCTTGCTGCGTGCGAGTACGTACATAACTTTATATGAAACATTCCACATATCTTTTCATCAAATAATTAATAATAACAATAATACTGTCAAAAATATTGCCAAAATTTTCTGTTACATATGTATGTGGTGCAAAAATGAAGAACAGAGAAGGAAAAAAGACAATGAGCATCAGAGTGGTTCCGACTAAAACATGATTGGTGGGCATATATATGCGTAGTGATTACATGGCATTACAAAGTCAAACCACCGCTGGGCCATATTTTCAAATTTCTCCATTATCTTCACCAATTTTCTCCAAAATTAATTAGTCAATTTCCTCGACTCCAGGAAATCCTTTCTCTTGGGCACTTTCGTGGAAATATACTCGAGAAAACTCCCAAAATCTGTGTCTTTATAACGCTTCGGATTCATTTCGTCTATGACTTTTGGTGAAGGTCGCACCACGCAGTTGAACGGCAGGCTATGCAACGAAGCCACCGATCTTCTACTCTTCACACCGTTCACCAAAACCCTGTGTAGTACACTCTTGTACTTCCCATTACTGTATATCTGTTCCATTAACAAAACCCCCCAAAAAACAAAATAAAATCCTTGAATCATTATTTAAACCTCCAAAGAGAATTTACCAGCATTACATGTAATTAAACGATAACACATAGCAAAACACCAACCTCTAAGTGATCTCCAACGTTAACAACGAAGGCGTTAGGCATAGGGTCAACGGTAAGCCAATGTTGTTGATGGTGGATCTGCAAGCCCTCGACGTCATCTTGAAGGAGAAGGGTGAGGAAGCCATAATCAGAGTGAGGAGGCATGCCAAGAGTTAGGTCTGGTTCTGGGCATGGTGGGTAGTAATTGGCCACCATTATCTGGCTCCCATCTTTGAAGTCTTTAAGAATTTCTTTCTTTTCTGTCTCCTCTTGGCTGGCTTCCACAATTCCTAAACTCTCTAGGATGGCTTCCATTAGTGCCAGAAACAAGTGTTTGGTTTCTTGTGCGTAGGTAGACGCCACTTCCCTTTATAAAATATTAAAAACACCGCGCATGAGGGTACATAACGACATATAAAATAATAAAGTGAGATGACTAATTAATCAGGTAATTAATCATAATTAAACAAGACTATTGGGCCTCATGTCATGTATTGTACGCTCCTGCTGGTGGTGCTGGATATTTGACAAATAACCACTTAATTCAATTAATAATTCAGCATTCCGCAATATTTTAAATTTTAGTAGAATTGAACTAATGGTGTTTGAGAAATGTGCGGCTTCATCAAACTACCAATGAACAGCCTCAATGTACATAAGAATGTGTTAAAAAAATGTTTACCACTTCACAGAGACAGGGGGGGAGAGAGGGAGGGAGGGGGAGAGACTAACCGCAAGTCGACGGGGGAAGCAGGCCAGTGAGGGAGGAAATCTGGCAAGGGATGGCACTGCAGTTTCAAGAAGTCCCTCCAACAGAAGACAGTGTCTCTGGTTTGGCTGAAGCTGGTCCCATATCGAACAGGAGCCCTAATATCAGGGGTCATGTACTTGGCTCTTTCCTCAAAAGCAAGATTGAAGAACCGCCCACTCACTTCTATCATCTTCCTTGTAACATCTTCTTGGATCCCATGATTCACCAGCTGCGCCAAACTTGAATTATCAGATTCTGATTGTATTCTCTCAAGTAAACGTGTGTGCGTCTGTGTGTGTGTGTGGTTTGACTTCCAGAACTTGATTCCAAATATATATACACACACCTGGAAGAATCCGTACAGTTGGCAGGCCTCAGCTAGGGAATTGAGGACCTGGGACCTCTTTGGACCCAGCAAATCAGCAAAATCGATGATGGGTAACTGAAGATTTTGTCTGTTGGTAACATTCGGATCTCCTGTATTCGTACTACTGGGTCGTTCAGAGGCAGGCAATATGTATTTCTTTGGTACCCTATGTAGCCCATTTTCACAGAGCAGCTTCACACCTTTCTGATATTGGCTTTCTGCAGTTTCGTCGTAGCACCTCTCATCGTCATCAGCTACTAACATTGCAGGAGACATGTCAAATCACCTGTTGCAAGTAAAAGCATGAACATGTAATTCTTGGAAAGCCTCGTGATGCCTTATATACAGAAATATAATCGGAACATGCAAGTTGCACCTAATTAATTGTGATCCTGTAAAGTCTAAAACTTGCTATTAATATAGGTCTATATATAATTGAGTTCAAGAGCCGCGCATGCATGTGGATGGATTTATAAAGATCAAAATGTGGTATATCATTGGTGAAGAAGGCATGGGAGAAACCAACCTACCTGTTAGATAAAGAGCAATGACAAAAAAAATGAAAGAACAGAAAGGGCTTTGGAAATTAGTTGGTACGCATGTGTAGGAAGGAGGATTGGGATGAGCGCGTATATATAGGGAAAGTGGGAGAGGAAAACAGTAGCAAGTTTTGAGGAAACCAGGATGAGGTTTCTGAATAGGCAGGAGTGGTTCTGTTCCATGTTAGAATACCGTTGACTAAGAGTTGAGTCAGAGCACGGGAAGGGAATTGGAGGGACACCACACTCCCACCAGGCCATCGCTTAATAATCCATATCTTCCATTCAAGTATTCAACTTTAACACTTTTGTCTCTTTCCCACCCGGAACCCACCCACCTCTATATTTCCATGTCATTATTACTATTTGGGTTACGTCATTATTGTTTGTGTGTGTGGGTGTGTGTGTGTGAGGGGGATAATGCATTCTATGCACATTGAACACACACACACACCCGAAAGCAAATCCACGCGAGCTCACATGTGAATGGGGCGTAGAATTTCGCAGCTTACTTTGGAAAAGGAACGGATTGATCCCTCTCGTTGAAAAAATTCGACTCCTCTCTTCTTGGGCCCTCCCCCCAGCAGCTAGCAGCCTTCTTTAATTCCCACGTCATTATTAATATGAAATTCAAATTTTACCATAAAATATTAGTAGGTAGCAACCCTTAATGCGAAATGCCAAAAGCCTCAATCTTTGAAAGGTCACATAATCAAATTTACGTCGAGTGTGAGGCTGCTCGCAATTGCTTTTTAAATTCGCAGCCCGGCAGAATTTCTGTTATTAATGGGTAAGTAATAGTAGTAAGTGGGTTTATTTTATTCATATTATCTTTTTGTATGATCGCTGCATATAATTCCCCATTAGCGTGTCCTGCTTACTAGCGACAGAAAAATGTGCACATCGTAAGAACTTCACTCTTCTTTTTTTTTTTTGGCTGAGGGTGAACACTTCTGATTACTCATTACTCCGAGTCTGGTTCCTTCATCCTTCTATTTGTAGTGGACCACTTCAAATTTTAAAGAGCTTGATATAGTCCACTAATTAGTTGGTCAATTTGACAGAACAAATGTGTAATTTGTTGCTTAAAAACAAAAGGACTGAGTCGCTTGCTATGTAAATGAAGCACGAACTTCTTGACTTCGATTCATTCGTTCAGTCACTCTCGCCAATTCATTTGGCGGTCGACTGATGAAAACGTTGTCAATTACCAATTTTCATGGTAACTTTGATAGATAAGTTAAATGATGGAAACACGCAAATTAAAATTGACAATGAGAACTGCTTGCTTAATTAATTATGAATCTCCTTAATTTTTCTCTTGACGCTAAACCAGTCGGGTGGAGTTTTTCAAACAGCTGAATTTTATATTATAACTATAAAAGGGCTAGGGTTTGGATCCAAAGCTATAGGCACTGCCTAAAATATTATCTGCAGTTGGAGAAAAATAATAACGCTTGTACTTTTTGCCAAATTAATGTCATCATTTCTTTTATATAATGGCGGAATTGGACTGTATTTACGCGCGAAGTGCGGGTGCATATATACGTTAAGATTTACAAGATTAAGGAAAATACATGTGTTCCAAGAGTACTGAACGATGAGCGTATAAAATTCTTGAAATAGATGAATCTACTTTAATTTCTTAAATTTTAAATATGTAGGTATGCATAATCAATGTATAGCTAGATCGCGCTCACTTATGCAAGGCCCGATATCAATTAGATAATAATCAGTCTATTGTTTTTGGAGAGTCTCAAAAGTCAAAATTAATTATACAGTGTGTGTGTGTGTGGACGGAGAGAGAGTTGAGAGAATCCATCTAAACTTGAAACCTGGACTAAATATAGTTTATGAAAGTCAAATATGCTGAGATAATACACTTAGCCAGTTACGTCCCTAAATAATAAATCTTCCGACGGTAGTCAAACCGATTTTAATTAAATTTATATAATTCAAAGAATATGCATGAAATTTAAAAAAAAAAAAACCTTAGATAACATTTATGGAATTAGCACAAGATTCTATGATTGATTAGAACCATCAATAAATCGTCAAATATATATAACACTAAAGAAGAAATAACCAAAAGATAGTTAATAACACAAAATAATATAGTTTTGGCTTATTAATTTCTTTTAAAAGAAAAACCGATTGTTCACGGATTCATTTTTCCGACTGATTCCAAAGATATTCTGTATCGGGCATATGGTCTCTACTTGATATCGTAATTTTTTATATAAGAACTTTTAAAAAAAGGTATATATGAAATTATACATCAATTCCACGGTCAAAAAGAAATTATATGTATCCATATTTTAAAATATTTCATTTATAATTATAACCATCCCTCTATCTTACTTAATTTTGACATGAATGTTAAACACTGTTGAAAAGTAATTTTGAAATGCCGGGACATTTTTTGAAAACAATCAGGAACAATAATTAATTTTAATTATTTTTCTTAATGTGTGTCAAAATTAGAGGAACAAAGTTGAAAGAAATTGAAAATAAAGGAGCGAGTTTCAGTGAAATCAAAATTACAGAGATGACATATATAATTAATTTATTTTTCTTATAAATAGAAAGTATGCGTCTGGTTCTTGCCATATATGGCAAATCTAAAAGTTGTGCAAGGCTTGGCCATGCATTGCAGTATTGGAAACGAATACCGACAGAACCATTGACCTACACGCGCACACATGATCGCTTTTCTTAACCAAACCTAGCTAGCCGGATGAAGTGAAATTAAGCTAATGCTTCGCAAATTATAAAAATAATGTAGGGGTATAACGGAACAGTAGTGTAATTAATTAACTAATAATTAGACATGTGGGGCCCTGTCCAGGGATTGAGAATAGGAAAGAAAAGCTTATCCGACCATGACCATGCATTACAGCTGTTGTGTGTGAGCTTGAAGCTCTTGAACTTTGCAATTGTCGTTTAATAATATGAAGACCAAATAGATATTATATATGTGTGCATGGCTGGAGTCTCACGTATATATACAAGAGTCCGCGTAGATATTCTAGAGCAGTAGGTGACAAATAAACCAGTAAACGACCCTGCAAAAGACATTGAAGCGAATTAGCCAAAATCCCATTTTGTAATTCAATCGTCAGCCGCAAGTTGCACGACCCTATGGCTACCAATGCTCAATCTTAGTCATCATTATATATATTTGTATGTCTTGGGAGTGATTTACATCGGTGATTTGAGATTCAAGCTGACACTGTACTGTCATGCGTTTGTCTTACGTGCCTCACGCACCACAGCCCATAGCCACTAATAAGAGACTCTCTGCAGGTTCCAAGTTGGTTAGCATGTCCGTGTTCCCAAGCTAGCTAGCTAGCTAGCTAGCTACTTCTAATTGCTGTAATTTTGTTCTCTATTCGTTGCATGCTCTAGATATACATGTGTTAATGAGACGCACTAATTCACTGCTAGATTCTATGTCCTGTCTGTCACACTGATATTTCTTCGCTGGTTTTCTGTTAGCCAGTTCATTGTATTCATAAGTACTCTGCAGATTTCCGTTTTTTAAAAGGCCTTAGACTTTGAGGCCCTTTAAAGAATTGCAAAATATTCCAAATGATCAGAGTCAAAAAGTTCTCTCTATTGCTCTCTCCTCCCATCATTTTCTAATTGCGAGAATTGGCATGAGGGTTATTAAAGGATGAAATATTTATCAGTAGGAAGAATCAATCTCTTAAAACTACATTGCAGATTCTAATTAAAATCTATCATCTGAGTTTCGGGCATCTTCAATATAATGTAAATTCATAAAGCTCTCTTAAACTTGATTGCATCCGTTTGTCCTTGTATCCATTTTTCCCTTCATCGTTTCACGCGGGAAACTTTTGATGTCATTTCTGGTTCTTTTCTTTTCAATGAAATGGTTTGACCAAAAATAAACCACTAAAGGAGCATTAGATGGATTAAAGCTGGTAAACTAGGGGAGGGGGAGATCATGTTCCTGTCCGTCCAACGTCACACGATGAAGCACGTGTTCATCTTCGAAGAATGGTTTCGGTATACGCCCACTTCAACTATATAAACATGTTATACTCCTCCGGTCCTAATTATAAGACCCAATTGACTTATTTGAGGAAATTAAGGAAGTAAGTTAAGTTGGTTATTTATAATAAATAAGTGTTGTCATTCCTAAAATATCCTTGCTAATTAAGTATATTGGCTAAAACTATCATTATTAGAAGGATTATCTTGGAAAAAAATGCATAAATATAAGAGACAAATGGATTGGGTCTTATAATTAGGACCAAATAAAAAGTCAAATGGGTCTTATAATAAGGACCGGAGGAGTATAATTTTTCCCAGCTTTTTCTTCTCAGGGGTATTTCCGAGACTTGAATTTTTTTTTGTATAAATTAAAAATAGCATATCCCTGTCTTTGCGTTGTTAATTAATTACGATCAGGGTTCATAGACAAAGTTTCAGTAGTTCAAATGTGCGTGCTTTCATATATAATATTGATACTAGTAATTAAAAAAAGTAGATATATTCATCATCAAATACACATACAACATAATACACATTTCAAACTTGTATTATTTTATACTAGTCTTTTTTACATATATATACTCCTCTGGTCCTATTTACAGGGTGCAAAGATAAGAGATTTTTTAGTCCCATTTATAAGAAACTGAGAGAAATTTTTTATGTGGATGTATTATTTTACTCTCCATTTGCTATGGTTTTGACTTTGTTAACATAAGATATAATAGATATTAAATAAGAATAAATTTAAAAAATTACTAAATTTTAAATAAAAATTAATAAAATTTAAGATTTTTTTTTTGTTTGTGTAAAATACAACGGAGAAGTACCATGTTATCTAATATGCATGTGCACTCATGTTACCATTACACAGGTCCGGAGGTGCGGGTGAGCGCGAACGCGCGGGGGTGAGGTGGCGTTCTGGCAAGGTATCCATGTGCCTGGGTAGGTGGTTAAATAGTTAATCTGCTGGCGTTTAAATAATTTTAATAAAAACTTCAGCGTGTTAGGTTTTATTGATTTATGGCCTGTTTTGGGTGCTTCAAAACCGTAGTTTCAGAAGCACTTTTTCGCAAAACGAGATAACTTCCTCCACATATTTACTTCGTAATCCGTAAAAGCACTTCTGAAACTATGGTTTAGTTTCTATCCAAACACTCCCTTATTGGGGTTAAACGATATCACAACTCAAAAGTACTTAACAAAAACAGTTATATTTTCTTTGGCCAGGTTACTGGACATTATTCATAAGACAGCTGGAGCGGGGATCAGAGAGTAACAACTGATGAATTAGCCCATTTCTTAATTCCTGTGAGAGTTTTTGGTTAATTCGGACACTTGAAGCAGTGTAGGCCCAACCTCATCTCAGGTCACAATTATTGGTATGGGTAGGTAGGGAACGTCATGGACTGAAATGGTTGAACCATTTCTTTTATATCTTTCGCCGGACTTTCACCAGAGGAGCTAGAAAGGCCACAAAGCCCAAAGGGTTCTCTATTTTCTCTTGCGGACTACTGCTTAATGGTGTGTTTTGGTATGAGGGATTTGGAAGGGAGGGGAGGGGAGGAGAGGGGTTTTAATCATTTTTCCTTATTTGGCACACACAAATTTTAGGAGGGGAGGGAAAATTTTTTAAAATTTCCCCTCCCCTCCCCTCCTCAACCTCCCCTCCAAAATTGGGAGGATTTGGAGGGAAAAGGCAATATTTTGTCATATTATAACCATTATATTCATATTTGTCATGTTGTGACCATTATGTTTATATTTTGTCATGTTGTGACTATTATGCCCACGCCTTAAATAAAATAAGAGCAAAATTGTCCTATTAAAATATTTTTCCCTCCCCTCCCCTCTTTTTTTATAAATCCAAACAAGGTGATATTAAAATCCTTCCACTCCCCTCCCCTCCCCTTCCCTCCATTAAAATCCCTCCCCTCCCCTTCCTCTCATTGAGCCAAACATACCCAAGGGAAAGAACTAAGGCCACTTTATAAAATTAAAGATATCTTGTTTAGGATATAAAAAAAATATCAAGCTCAAGTAAAGTATTTAATACTAAAGACGTGTATAATTCAACTTGGAACTATAAGATCTATTCTCCCTGAATGAAGCAGCGCCTAGTATTGCTCAAGAAAATGGACAGGAATATCATTATTCATTATGCAAGACAACACGAGAAAAGCAGTTTCCTTGCATGTTTTCCATTACTAATTTACTACTGTTCAACGGCTTCCCTTTACTTTGGTTAAGACTAATTAATCAAAATAAGATAACTTGCAACTTAGAAGTTTGTGATACGTCCGTCTGTTAAATAACTGCCAGCTCGTTGAATCTGCTGTTTCTCATCTGATGTCAAGTATAGAACCTTCACCTGTGTGACACTAACACTTGACAAATTTATAAATACAAGTTCAAAGTTCTGCTTTCTCCAAATCTGGCCCTCTCTCTCTCTGAGTAACTCTTTTTCCAGTGATATCCAATGATATTACATGGCATTATATCTTCTTTTTTTTTTTAATTGAAACTGAAAAATATTACAAAAGAGTCCAAAACAAAACAGTTCAACCCTTCCTCCTTATTCAAGTAGGTGGAGGGTGGTCAAAAATACAGAAAAGATTGTCTAGAGTATAAGACATTTTAGTTAAAAGATCAGCTAAAGGAATTTCTTCCCTAAGAGAAAAGGTAAGTAGAACCCTCCAGTTGTAATTGAAGAGTATACTAGTATCCTCAATGATGTCTTGAAAAGGATGATTCTGAAAATAACCTCTCAAAATGAGGTTAAGAGCTTCAGTACAATCAGAATAGAGAATGATGCTTCGAAAACCTCTTGACCAGCAAAGCTTTAAGACTTGAAACATGACTAAGACTTTAGCAATAGTTGAGGGAACCGAACTGATTTTACAACTGAAACCACATGTCCAAGCTCCTTCCCTGTTCCGTATGGCTCCTCCACATCCGCTGTGTCCTTCCTGGGTAACTGAACCGTCTACCTCCAAGCTAACATACTCTCCTTGTAGGCTTTGGTAACCTTTTCTGGTCCTACTCCCTATCGTGTAAAAGCATTTTATCTTTCACAGAAGTTGCGAAACAGGAACGAGGAATTCTATTTATTTGGCTTTCTTGTAAAACGAGATAGAACCCAATGCACGAATCCAGCGGAGAAGAAGCTGATAAACCAAGCGTTGCTGTATATCACCGCAAAAGCTTCAGGAATATTTGAAGTCAAAACTCCAACTTTCTGCAAGAAACCAGGGATTACTGGCAAAATCCCAATAATCAGAGCCACCATCGCTGCCAAATTAAAACCCCCTGTGTAATAGTAAGCTCCATCAGGACTGCGAGAGTACAAGTCTCTGATGCTCAAATTGGTCGATTGTACAAGATAGTAATCGGCTAAAAGAATCCCCGCAATAGGACCTACGAACGCAGAATACCCAACCAGCCACGTATACACAAAGCTCTCACTGGACTTGAGAAGCCTCCATGGTTGAAAAATAATCCCAAGCAAAGCAGTGACTATAGCCCCTCTTCTGAAAGTGAACCACGAGGGGCTCAGATTCACAAGCGCATTTGCAGGTGCCACAACATTAGCAGCAATATTTGTAGTGATAGTGGCAAGGCTTATTCCAAGAATGGCTAGAAGCATCGTGGTGAAGCCACCAATCTGGCCAAGCAGTTGAATTGGGTTAGAAATGACTTGCCCAAATATTACTTTCGTCGATGATGTCACTGCGAGTCCGACGAATGTAAATGCTCCCATGAAGATGGGAAGCCCAATCTGACCAACGACTTGATCAGTTTGGCTCTTAGCATAGCGAGTAAAATCAGGGATGTTCAGAGCCACCGTAGCCCAAAAGCTTATGTTGGCAGTTAGAGATGGGAAAAATAGAGACCAAAACTCTGAATTGGATAGCCTAGAGGATAAGGAAAGCATGTGACCAAACCCACCAGCTTTGATGCCAGACCAAATTAGAAGGCAGGAAGTGAGGAGAATGAGTATTGGAGCAGAGTACTTCTCCAGCTTTCGAATCCCATCAATTCCTCTCCACACAATGGCCAATTGTGCCACCCAGAAGATCAAAAAACAAGCAAATTCAAGTGGGAAGTACCGAGCCAAGCAAGACTCTGAGAGAATCGAGTGTGTTTGATTGAATTTGGTAAGAGGAGGAAGATGGCCTCTCCACCGATCCAAGACTCAATCCCATACCAACCACACCCAACGAGAGCTCGTATAAGAGTGGGAATATGCGCACCGTGGATGCCAAACGATGATCTCGCAAGAACCGGGAACGATATGCCGTAGCGAGCGCCGGGATGACCGGTGAGCACCAGAGGGGCCAAAAGGACAGCGTTGGCTGCGACCACCGTGGCTATGCCCTGCCACCATGACATACCGAGGTCGACGAGGCTGCCAGCGAGGTAATACGAAGGGACACCCACCACCAGACCCACCCAGAGGGTGGCCAATTCCAAGCCAGAGAATGTGCGTTCAGCGGGAGTGGTGGGCCGGAGGTCGTCATTGGTGAGGGAAGAATCGAATTCGAACTGGAGAGGGTTGCCGGAACTGGAACATCTCATGTTGCGTAAAGGGGAGGAATGGTGAAGGGCGTGACGGAGATTGGTGGGTTTGGGGACCGAGAATGGGGAGACATGAGTGGGGGAGTAATAAGAAGAGGGCTTTTGGGTGTTGCAGATTGGAGGGGTGGCCTGAGGACGGAGGGAGACACATTTGGAGAGCATGCTTTGAGGTTGGTTGTCTCGTCCCGTAATAGTTGAGGTTTGCGTGGACGGAGCTTATTTCAGATAGAGACTGGGTGGTGGCTGTTTTGCAACGTCAATCTCACTACTTCATGTGAATAGGAATAAAGAGATTCCCTTTCCTTAGAACAATATTAATAATATTATTAATACCGATATATTTTATTTCCCGCCAGCTTCTAAATCGATTCAAGTTACTCTCCGAATCTTAATATAAGACCCATTTAATTAATTTGATTAGATTAAAAAAGTTAGGTAAGTTAGTTAATTATAAAAAATGTGATGTATTTTTCCTAAAATACCATAATCATCTTTCTTAATACCTCCCCTCCCTCTTTTACTTGATTATGGTTAAGGGAGTATCTATAGGAATAATTTAGAGAAAATTGATAAATATGAGAAATGAGTCTTATATCTAAAACCAAAACTAACTCAATAATTAAGTCATGTATTAAGGATTGGAGGAGTATTAAATTTGCATCATGAAAACGTAATATTTAAATCTTATGAAATATTCAATTTATTATCGATCAATCTAATTTTTTGGACCAAAAAAATGCACCTGACTTTAAAATCTCTGGTAATGAATTTATTTTCCCTAAAAAAACTATATTCCTCATGAACCCTGAATCTGACAGCGTAGGCTCACCCAAAAAAAGAAAAAATAAAAAAGGGCCGAGTCTTTTTGGTGGAAAAAGGGTTGAGTTTGAATTCACCTTGTCGCTGCCAAAAGCCCACTTCACATATGATATCCGTCGCTTGTGTTATTCTCGTCTTCTCGAAGCCAGGTGGACAGGGTTGCTGCGGCTGCTATCTTTTTATGAATAAAATTATTATTTTAATTAAACAAGTGAAAAGAAAATCACCAAGTGATTATTGTGTTCAGAGGCAAAAGGTGCCCCCTTCTTTTTTCTCTTATTTTTATCTACTTCTCATCTCACTCATAAGTCATAGGATTGGGATTTTAACAGTTTATATTTCATATTTATAAAATTATAAGTAAAATATTAAAATTTTAAAACTAAATAAATAAAATCAAATAAAACTATTAAATTTTTAGTCAGTATAATTCAAAATAATAATAAAAAATATTTTATAAAATTATTTTTAAAAGCATAAAATCTAGACCGTTAAGCTTTTAATCTAAAAAGTTGAGATGAGAAATATATGGAAATAGAAAGAAAGAAAAGTGAAGAACCTCTTTACCCTTATGTTTGGTGAATCAAACCTAATTCACGACGTGATAAGAACAAATGGAAATTTGTTAACAATAATTTTCTTCTGGCTTTTAGAAATTTATCAAAATCAAATCATTTTTCAAAAATAAACCACTAGAAGCAATGCAGGTTTTCAGGAGTAAGACTTCTGATGTTTTAGAATCACCCAAATAATTTGACAAATGATAAAAAAGTCAGTAGTCGAATAAAAAAAAACCATACAAGGAAATAAAATAGAGCAAGTTATCCGTCAATTATAAGCTCAATCAAAAGATTCGATAATTATTCCCCCAGGTTGTCATCCTCATTAACAGTATATTTTTATTAAATGAAATGAAACCTTTTAAATATGCATTAGAAAAATAAACATAAAATAAATTTTACATTTATTAATTCTTGTATTTAATTTAATATTTCCTCTTATCTTAATTATAAAATATCGTTTATAACCTACAAATAACATCTTATGAATAAGATAAGAGATACCATCAATTTTTAAATTTTAATACACACGCATGACTTGCGTCTTCACTAAACAAAGCAAATGATCCGAGACAGGCTTGCAAGCACGAGACATCTGATGGTACGAACACGAAAAATGAATTGATAAATGGTTAGAAGTCAATGGTCGAATTGAAAATAGGAGCCCCACTGACCAAGATAATTAGATGTACAAGTCAACGATCCGAGAAGTGCGATTTTTCTTCTTCCTCTTCTTTTTGCCAACATAATTTTTTTTTCTTATTCACTTATTATTACTAGATGAAGTCACATTAATCGCCTTGCCTTTTTTTTTCCCCTAGAAATTATACAAATTTTTCATAATCAGGACATACGTAAATAATATTAAAACAAAATAAAATCCACCCTCACTGAATTTTTTTTTTTTAAAAAAATTATCATGGATCATGGGTATTGTAATATGTTCATTACAAAGTGTGCATGTTCTTGCTCGCTTCCTCCAAAAGAAAAGGCAGAAAGAAAGAAGACATATATGTTTGTGCTCTCGTCTGTTTTGGACATCTGCGGTGTATTCTGGTCCAAAAGCGGAGGTGTGTACGACTAGACCCTTTGCTGTAGTCTATTGGGCTTCCAAGGTTTTGACTTCGTTCGTCTTTTGGATCGCGGAAACACAAGGTCCAGGCGACGACGTGTTTTTTAGCAACAAATATGAAAATATTTCTGGGTTTTAATTTTTAAGCGCTCCATTCTCATTACATTCTAGAATTTTCTTCAAAAAAAAATATTGGAGAATATACAATTATGTATCTGTCATAGAAAGCGTTCTAGTTGCGGAATTAAAAGACAATTTTATTCAAACTAACCAGAAAATTAAAAGACAATTTTTTCTAAGGACCATCAGATGAACTGGCATCCAAGAGCCGTTTAAAATTATTTTATTACGTTTTATTCTAGCCAAGTGAAATACTCATAAGAAGGAGCGAAAGGGGGACCCGCAATAATGGAAGAACACAAACAGTTACACTTGTCCAATACAGTACCACCAGAATGGAGCTGGGTGATGAGATCGCAGAGTCTAAAGGTGCTACGTGGAGGTCATGCCAAGCAAATCTCGGTAGCAGTCAACCCAACGGCTCCCAGCTTTATTGGAACTAACTAACATCTGAAAGCGAAAAAAACCATAAACTCGGTCTACCATAATTAACCGCATGTTAAAGCAAGTGGCACACCCAGACAGAAAAAGAAAGAACACGAGACATGAACAGCAACAGCAACACCAACAACGTTGAAGGGCAAGGCCAACTGGGCTACTTCGTGAACCCTCTCATCATCTCCGGCGCCGGCATCATCTGCTCCTGCGTCGCCCTAGCCACGTACCACTTCATCCTCTTCAGGCTCTGCCTTCAAGGCCGACGACAGTTGCAGCAAATCCCTCAGCCAATAAGTCCGCCCCCCGAGGACATTCCCTGCGGCGTCGACCCTGAAATCCTCAAGAAAATCCCAATTCTGCCTTACTCTCACAAGAAAGATGACGCCTTTCGTTTGGACCAAACTGAATGCGTTATTTGCTTGGGCGAATTGCAGGATGGAGAAAAGGTTCGGTTATTGCCTTCTTGTAGTCATGCCTTTCACATACCTTGCATCGATCTCTGGTTCGCTCAAAATTCCAATTGTCCCATTTGTCGAGCGCCCTTAATTATAGCCCCTCCGCCGTCCCTGCCTGTGGCTTCAGAAACTGTTGTTGATGCTGAACCAAGGGTCTGTCATATTCAAAGTGATCACAACATTGCCGCTTCTGGTTCGACGTCACGGGCCCCTCCCGGCGCCGCCACGCTTCAGCACTCTCTCTCTGTGGCGTATCGTCACGAGCAGGAAAAGCCTCAGGATTTGATGGTAGGGATGAAGAGGTCTCTGTCCATGGATCATTCGTCGTATGTTTCCGTCAGCATACAAAGAGACGAGGCAAATAAAGCTGCTGCTTCTTCTTCTTCTTCGCCCTCTGTCGCTGCAGGGATTGGGATTGCGCACGCTAAAGCGCTTGATCACGTGTCGTCCATGTTGATGATGTCTTTTGCGCAGTTTCGGAATAGTCGAAATGATAGATCCAAAGGCATTCTACCGAATTGAGATAATTAGGTTTTGTTTGATGGTTCTCTTTTAATGAGCCGGATATTGCGTTGAATGGGCTTTATTGTTCTTATTCTTTCTTGATTCGTTCTGGCCTCTCCAAGAATTCAACCGTAATAAATTTTTCACACATGTGTACAAAGAAGATAAACACACATGCATCGTTTATACTGTAGCCTTTTGGCTTCATGACGGAGCATATAGATATGCTGAATGTGGCACAAGAATGGCCCGATCATAAATTGTTGTGACAAACATTCGCATCTTCGTTTGCATGTAATGCTTTATATCGCTCAACTTTTGCAGGTTTAACCTTTAATTTCCCAGAGATTTGTAGGTAAGTGAGTAATGTGTGTGTGTATTAATACTGATGAACTAGGCATTAGATGAGTGTAACCAAAAGAAAATGCACAAAGTACATGATTAATTAGTGGGATTTCGTTACCATATGTTCAAGGATACACTAACACATTTTTATTCCAAATGCATCCTATGTGTATTTTGATTTGTGTGTAATGATTTGTCTGAAGATAAGCTTCAGGATTGTCAACAATAACGCTTCAATTCAGCATAATATGGCTGACAAAAAAAAAATATCGCCTGTTTTCCATACAAGTTGTCTCTTTTCGGTTTATACAGGAGCCGTTTGGAATAATTTATAAGTATTTTTTAATCGTAATTTGCGGAATAAAAAATAAATATGTGAGAGAAATTTTATCTTAACTTGCGTAAAATGTGCTTATAAGTGATTTTTAAAGCTATGCCAATAGATCCATAATAGTTCATTGGTTGTGCCCTTTTATTGAAATGCTCACTCCTTTTTTTTTTTTTAAACACGAACTATATATAATATTGTTTCACGGCACCCATAAAGCTTATTGCTACAGCATATTAATACGTTTGAAAATTTTCCTTTCAGTCTGCTGCTTAAATGGCGCCCACAACAACATAATGCAATAAGGTACATCTTTGCTGAAGTCCTATTTGGCCTATTGGCAATAAGGTGCATCTTTAAATCGGAGAATTGGCGAGTTCAAGCAAGGTAAGGTTGAGATGAAGTGAAGAGTTTTTTCTCTTTTTTTGGGGGGGGGGGGGGGTCTTGTTTTTTAAAAAAAAAAAAGTAAAGTGTGTGAGAGAATAAAAATGTGTTGTCATTTTTGTTTTGTGTGGAAGTTGGAACTGCGCTGTGTGTGTTCATTTGCAAGTGAGTAGACAGAAAAGGACAGAGCGCATAAGAGCATCTAAACTTTATATCGTCATGGGTAAATTAATTATTAGGTCCATAGTGTAGGATAACTCTTGTCTGGGGACCCTGGAAAGCAAAGCAAAGTCAGTTCACTAGTGACAAACAATAAATCATATTTTTCATTACACTTAAATTAGTATTTTGATGTCGCTTCAGGGACATCTGATAATTTAGCATGTTAAATAATAATAAATTTATTTGAAAAATTAATTCTAATATTTAATGTCATCATGTATGTACACGAAGAAAAGTATGATGAGGAAGACAAATTACATTCTGGTTTAAATTTAGTGACATAATTAATCAAACATTGCAGTCGTTGCTATTTTTGAATTGGGAAATAAAAAGAAATTTTAATCTACCTACCCTTTCAGTTGAATTATTGTGTGACGCACGTTTTGAGAATTGAAAACTTTGGGTAGCTATCAATTACCATCTGCTCTATACCTAATTGCTTTGGCTTATCTGTTTTGGAGAGAAAACGACGCTACGTAATGAACACGATCTTTCAACATCTGCTACCTTCCCTCCCTCCCCATTTCTCCTAATTTTCTTGACAGCAAGACGTAATAACAATTAAGAGCCAAAGAAAAATGGAGAGGAAAAAGAAAGAAGAAAGGGATATGTATAAAAATATAATATAAACAAGTTACAGAACAGAAAAGAGGGCACCACACTGAGCACGCCAAAATTGGCAATGATAAATAGAAAGTAGAATTGTCCTGATTATATTACATGCACGTAATAATAATGAACAATAACAAAGGTGGTGTTATCTTTATGTGGACGGGCCATGTGGATGGTGGGCCGATGAAAACTATAAAACGAACTCCACAAAGACAATGCTTTTTATGAAAAGAATTTCTTAATGACATGTACACCCGCAAGTATCAAATATTAAACAAATCCGCATTATTGGATGTTCTTCACAAGAGAGAATTTGTTGTGTTAGGGATGGGACCCAGATCCTAAAGCAAAGGAAAGAAATTTCCTGTGTATCGATATCCTTTTTCCTCTCTTTAAGGCGTCTACAGAAACCCCCCGAGCAAAAGGGCCACCCTCCATCATGCTAAATAACGAGGTTCTTTCCCTCACAGTGGGGTTTGTTATATAAATATGAAAAAAAGAAAAAAGAAAAGAAAAGGTGGGTTGGGTGGGGTGGAATTGAATATGTACCAATATTTGTGGGTGGAAAATAAATAATTAGGAGGCAAATGGAGCCCTGTGAGGAATGCCTTTTCTTCTTCTTGCTGTTGAAGCAGCTGGCGGAGGAGGCGTGGCCGGATACATGTCTTGTTGTGACCCTTCACGCGATCCCTCTTCTGATACCGATCTCCTTGATATTCCCTCCCTTCTCTCCGTTGCCTCGTTGTTTCCCTCCACAGCGAAGCTTGCGTCCCCATTTCCCTTCACTCCCACAAGCTATAAATGATTCCCCCCACGGAATCTTGTTATTAATTTAATTAATACAATAACAATAACAATAATGATAATTACCCCTACTCACTGACGCATAACCCTGCCCCATGTTCCCATCCACTGTCAATAATTATCCCTACTGATTATAAAACTCACGCTCCCTGCTCTGCTTTGATTATCATAATGGCGATATTGTTTATGATTTATATAAACAAATGGAAATGTCGATGCAGGGCCTCCCAGTATTCATTAATTATGGTGTGAGCATGTTCATATGGCGAGATAATCAAGATTATGAACAGCGAGCGAGGTAGCGGTGGGATTATAATTATGATGGTGATGTGTTTTCAAATGTAGGTGACGACATGTATGGGTGGTGGGTGTTATGGCCATATGATGAAGATGATTGTGAGTTGTGAATGATGTGCATATTGAAAATGATATATGAAGCAAGAGAGAGAGGGAGAAGGGGGGAGAGAGAGAGAGAGAGAGAGAGAGAGAGATATCTCACCTTACAGCCCAAGAACAGAAGCGGAATGGGTCCAGGAGGCTTCTTCCACAAATCTCACAAATGTGAGCTACTCCTTTCCCAGATTTTGGCTGAGGCCGCTCGTTCAGGAACAGGACTCTCGCGCTGTTTATCACATACGTCTGAACCCCACTTATGTCCAGGACTTTCTGAATCTCAGACACTCTCACCACATCGTGATACGAAGATCGCCTTATCTAATAATTCAAATTCACAACGAACAGCAGCCCGCAACAAATCAATCCGTATTAGTAATTACCCATTTCAATCTTAATTATTCACATTGTCCAAATGCCGCATCAAGAAATTAACTAACAAGAAGAAGCAGAGGAGGATATATACCTGAATGACTTGATGATCCTTGTGTCTGGAGGAACGGCAATAGAAGCAAAATGCGTCGCGATTGCAGTCAAGGCAAAACATGTTACACTCGCTCCTGGCGGCGTCGCCGTGAAAGCGGCAGACGCTGAAGAAGGAAGTGGTTAGCAGGGGCTCAAGCCACGGAGGCACCGACATTGCGTTCTGAACCAATGCAAATCAACATTCGAGATCAGGAATTCAGATCAGTTTCAAGCAAGGAGAAAAATGTGAGTGTGGCAATGATAACATAACAAGTAAGCGATGCGAATGTGAGTCAACGGGAGAGAGCTGAGTGAAGAAGAGGAGGGAATGACTGTGAAATTCAGGAGAATGAGGACAATGGCTGAGACACAGAGGGAATCGCAGGCGAAAATGCAGAGAGAGAGAGAGAGTAAACGGCCTTCGACTAAGAATTCAACAACAACACCCCCCGGGGGGGGGGGGATTATCAGATTAAAGAAAAGGAGGGAGAAGGAAGAGGGAGAGGCGTGGGATGAAGTGGAGGGTTTGGCGCTTACGGGACATGGCGTTCGGAATAGGATGGAGGTTGGACTGTGTCTACGTGGCTACGCATCAGCTAAGGGGCTGTATTTCCAAAAGCGGCTAAGGAATTCCACGCCCACGTGTCTGGTTCCCTCCATGTGGCGTCCCCACCTTGGTCCATCGCATCCCCGGCCCCAACTCTCTTCCTCAGCTAACCTCAATCTCTATCGCACGCCGTTAATCACTGTGCGGCTTTCACCCCCGCATCTAATTCTAACAGTTAATTTACATTGCCCTCTAGACTACTTTGCAGTACCACTGTACTACCTCCGATATTTATATAAAAACTTATTTAATTTTTATTTTTATTCTAAATATAAGACTTCAATTTATTTTGTCTCTAATATTTATGTATTTTTTTTAATGGTAGTTCTAACCAGCACATTTGATTAACAAAGATATTTTTAAAAGACAACACTTATTTATTACAAATAACTAACTTAACTTATTTTTTAATCTTCTCAAATTAATCAAATAGCTTTTATAACTAGAACTAGAGGTAGTATATATGATAAATTATTAATAAGGGTAATATGGTTCTTTATATGTTAAAATTGTTGTAATTTCGTTACTGAGTTAACAGATAATGACATTGACTATAAATTTTAGAGAGAAAAACTAATTCGACTAAAATGTAGCGCTCTTAGATGAATGAATTTTTTTCTGGATAAAATGTTATTTTTACTCCTAATTAAGTCATTCATAGAGGAATAACTGACATATTGAAGTTTAATCCTCAATATAATATTTATTTAACTAATTTGATTAGATTAGGAAAGTTAGGTAAGTTAGTTAATTACAAAAAATATGATATTTTTTTTAAAACACCATAATCATCTTTCTCAATATCCTCCCTCTTTCCCTCTCCTACTTGATTATGATTGAGAGAGTATCAATATGGATAATTTAAAAAAATTGATAAATATGATAAATATATTTTACATTTAGGATCAAGATTAATTTAATAATTAGATCCTGT